TGAAACGGTTTTTTCCCTTACCGGCAAACAAAAATAGCGATACAATGCCGTCACGCGATACGCGGTATGCGGTAAAATAATTGAAGGTTCACAGAAGGTTGCTATAAACGATTTGCATTTGGAGAGGCCCCTTGACGTAATATATTTAATATACTATTAGTCCTGGATGAAAGCTAGGAATTTTCAAGCATATAAAAATGAAGGTAAATAAATGGTCGGTTGTAAAATAAGTGCTGTTTTACTGACATGTAGTTGCTAACGTTTACGACAACTAAAGCAAAATTTAGACAGAAAATAGTGTGTGTGTAATATTATGAATTTTTAATTTCCAAAAGGAAACTTTTAAAGTTGGCGTACCTGTGGTTCGCGTCTATCAAGAAGTGAGGATTATAATTACAAAAGAGGCATAATTATTTTAAGAGAGAGACATACAAACAATTAACTACTGCGGTGATATTTAACTATTATTGTAGGTCAGCGGGTGACACAAGGGGTTTAGAAATGACGTCAAGGTAGTCAAAACAAACTACGGTGTCCGTTATAGTGTAAATCCTTCTGGAAAGCGGTGATTTGATTTTTCTTTCACAAGTTTGAGTGTCTCAAATTTTGGGTAAAATAGGACGGAAAACTGGGGCGACTTTTTTCTCTTGCTTTCAAGGAAGGGACTAAAACTACGAGCAACTGTTTCCGAGTAAAAAAAAATGGCACTGACAAGAAGACGAACGAGTAAAATAAAGTTCCACGAAAAAAAACCCAACTCACATGCTCATAACCTATGAAGCGCTAGTAAAAGAGAACGCTCTATTAGCTGGAAAACTACGACTTGATAATAGCGAACAAATAAAGAACTGTCTCGGGAAGAATTCGAAGACGTTTCGGGAAATAAAACATCAGCAGAGGGAGAGAGGGAGGAGGGAAGAAGGGAGGGGAGGGATGAAGGGAGAGGGAGAGAGGGTAGAAAAGAGGCAGGGAAGGAGGAAGGGAAGAAAGGAGGGAGGGAGGGAAGAAGAGAGGGAGGGAAGAAGGGAGAGGGAGAGAGAGTAGAAAAGAGGCAGGGAAGGAGGAAGGGAAGAAGGGAGGAGGGGAGGGAAGAAGAGAGGGAGGGAAGGAAGAAGAAGAAGAAAGGAGGAAGAAGAGGGGGGAGGAGGAAGGGAGGGAGGGAAGGAGGAAGGAGACACGGAAGAAGGGAACAAGAAAGGGGAAAAGGAGGAAAAAAAGAAAGGAGAGAGGGAGGAAGGAGAGAGGACGGAAAGTAGGGAGGGAAGAAGGGGAAAAGAGGGAGAGAGGAAGGGAAAAAGGTAGAATGGCAGGAAGGAAGGAAGAATGCGCAAAAGATAATGAAACACACAAAACCCCAACTGCATTACCTGACAATAATTTTATTATTATTATTATAAACACTTTTCATTGATTTATATTCCTAACTGAGTTGTACCTGAGCTCTGACCAAGCTAATGACAGTTAATAACTAAAGGGGTTGCAGTTATTTTACTTCTTAGCCTATCAATGATTCAAGCACTAAAATATGGAAAATGAGCTCAAGAAGGTTGTCATTCCTATCGATAACTACGAAGAAATGTACTGCATCGTTCTGAGTACTATATCGTACCCACCTAGACGTCTCTCTCTCTCTCGATGGTTCCTTGCGCTTCGTCACCAGTCACTCGCGTTTCGCGCTCGCCTCTATGCGAAACCATGCAGAAAACGAAGCGCCTGAGGAAGAGGCAGCTGTATTAGAGCATATGTCTGAGGTACCCTGCGAATACATACCACCGAAGCAGCCTCTTTATTCGGCTTTATTCGCAAGCTACCTCAGAGAAGAAAGAATCGTGTGAATTACGTCGTTATGTTCAAATGAAACCTCTTGGAAGTACCAACGTATGTTCAACTTATTAGCTTTGGGTTTTGTTTTT